TTCGATGTTGTTATTAGTACAAGGCAGGATGAGTGGAAAGCAGGACAAACTTTTGAGAACGCGGACAAAATCAGCAGAAGCAGGTTTACCCATTGGCCAGAGGTGTGATAGTAGCCTGCAGTATGGAAAGAGTGGACACCTCCTTCTTACATTGCCATGGCTAGACATAGTGGCACCCACCAACACGTGTATGGGCTGTGCTGGATTGCAGGACCGGTTGGGTTGAACTAGGCTTCAATGCCCATTGACATGTATGAAAGCTGAATGGGATGTGAGACAGACTGGACAAGCACAGGTCTGGGGATAGACTTTGTTGGGGATATGTGGGCCAAACCATGTAGAAATACAAGTCCCACTGGTTAGCTCAAATTTGGGGTGGGGATGGGCTGAGCTTGGTATGACCATTGACCTTTCCAACACTCACTGGTACAGGGACTGAGAACAGTCTGGGCACATCCAGGCTTCAGCCCCTGCATGTGCATCCTAAAACAGGGTGTGGGGTGGGCCAGGCCGCAACATTCACCAGCTCATACAAGGTCAAGATGGAGAAGCAGGCTATGCAGGGCAAGGGCCTAGCACCCATGTGTGAGATCTGGGACTTGGAGTAGGCCAACCAAAAGAGCTTGAGAAACTCCCCTAATGGGTCATAACTCTCACTGATGAGCACATGATCCAGGCCTGTGGATTGGACAGGAACTCCAACTGCTGTAAAATGTGTGGGCTGTTCTTGGAAGGGGGCAGGCCGGATAGGGCCAAGCAAACATGAGCTCACAAGCAAGTGCAGAAACCAGGCTGGAGCATGGGTCATGCCCGACTAGGCTGTTACACCTACCAGTTTGCATGAGCCAGGGATGGGAGCAGACTAACCAGGGTCAGGTTCCAGCACATGCCAGTGAGGGCTGGAACTGAGGGCAGGCCAGGTCAGGCCAGGCTACAGCATCCAAGGCAAAGGTCATGATAGGTGAGAGACTATTCCAAGCTGGGTCAGACCAAGAGCAACCACTCGCACATGCAAGATCTATAGCTGGGAACAGGCCTGGTTGGGAGCAAAGGGGACGCCCTAGGTGTGTTCTGGTTCCCATTGTTGAATGTGAGGACCAGATTGGAGTCTGCTAGCTCATCTGGTTATGGCTTTAGTGTCTTGGCACAATTGTGGTCTGGATCCTGGGTGTGCCTGACTGGGACAGACTCCAGCACCCACCAGCACTCATGAGAACCAGGTTAGGTGTAAGACCGGGTAGGCTATGTCTCTGTCCCTTCTGAGTCACATGTGAGCTGTGTGTGAGTGTGGAGCAGGCTTAGCTGTGCTGTAACACCCAACAGTAAAAACTGGAATGGGTAAAAGTCGGTCAGGAATGGTGATTGTTCCTGCTAAGTAGTGCTGGCCCGTGGACCCACCAATGGGTGCAAGATCTGGCAACTCCTGAGCAACTCCTCTGTCGGGACACAGTCCCTGCAGGTGAGCTCAAGAACCAGAATAGGGAGCACCCCAGACCACGCCAGAGAATGGTATCAACAGGCATACATTTGGCATAGGTCAGTGGTACACCTGGCTCGCCAGTTCATATCACCTGCTGGAAAATTCAAACACCAGAACAGTGTGTGTGTTGGGCCAGGCTCAGTCGCAACACATGCCAGTACACATGGGTTCAGGGACTGGGTGCTGGATGGACCGGCTGTAGACCCCTCCAGCGTGAGCTGGATTTGACGGTGGACCAGGCCTAAAAAGGCTACTGCATCCACTGGCAAATGTTGAGGTGAGGCAGACCATGCCAGACAGGGCCATAGCACCCACCTAGCACACATGAAAACCAAGAAGGGAGGAGGCAAACCCGGAAGTGGGGCAGCATGCTGCTCCCCTGCTAGACCATCACTCCCATTGGTGAGCATGAGAGTTGGGGTGGGGGCAGACCAGACCGGGCAGGGCTATAACACCTATTGCCTCCTGTAAGTTGGATTAGAGAAAAGCCAGGGTGGGTTAACTATTCCTACTGGTGCAAGCATAAGTCAGAGTGAGGGTGAGGGCTGGTTGGGCTTTGCCACAGCATCGGCTGGCAGAAGTTGGCACTGCAAGCTAATTCTTTTATGTTCAACTGCAGAACCACCTGGAGAGTGAATGATCTGGGAGTGGACTCAGTATGGAAAGAGTGGACACCTCCTTCTTACATTGCCATGGCTAGACATAGTGGCACCCACCAACACGTGTATGGGCTGTGCTGGATTGCAGGACCGGTTGGGTTGAACTAGGCTTCAATGCCCATTGACATGTATGAAAGCTGAATGGGATGTGAGACAGACTGGACAAGCACAGGAACCAGGACAGGGATGGGCCTGGTGGGGATTATTGTGGGTGACTCCAACTAGGCTACAGCTCACACTGATTTGGATGATGGCCAAGTGTAGTGGGCAGGCTCAGTCTGGACTGCAACAACCATTATTTTGTGTAGAAGACAGGGCTAGACAGAACTGATCCAGCAATTGCAACCACCACTGTGCAAGTAGGGTGACTGGGGCAAGGTACTGTGCTGGACCCTACACTCACAAACACATGCAAGAATCAGGTCTGGCAATCACCTCAGATCAGGTTTTTTGGGAATCACCCCAACTGAATCCCTGGACTCAGAACCCCACCATGGAGAGAACTGCAGGTTCCATGATCTGACTGTACAGTGCATGTGTCAGAGCTGAGCCTCCTCAACGGCTTAGATGGATCAGTGGACACCATACCCAGGTGCACATGGGGATACGGCAAGATATACAGAGGACATATGGTACCATAACTGAGCATGGAAGACAGAACAAATTGAACAATTGCCCCCAGCAACATGTTTGCCGTGAATACCTGAATAACTGCAGATTCTAAGGTGGATTATGTCCACCAGTGGATTCTGGAGTGATTTTTTCATATTTGGTATGGTGAGATCAGCAGTGATTCAGAACTTCTGAACTACCAAAACCACTTGAGCAGTGCTCTTGGAGTGGGCTTCTCCCATTGTCTCACCTAGATACAGAAAGGAAAAAAGCGAATGTGGAAACATTGGTATTTCCCACTTCCCTGTAGCCCTTGACCCTTTGCACCTTGATCAACTATAAGGATCATCAAAATATAATAATAGTAATAAAAATAATAATTTTTAAAAAGAAAAAATATAATGAAATTATATTTCAGTAAGTTACATTTGAATAAAATTTTGTACCTTAGTGGTCCAACTAAGGAAGCTCAGCACTCCCTCAGTCCTAGGGAGGGAACAGAGTACAGTTTTGTGTTACAGGAAGTTGAGATGCACAGATATGAGTTCACTGCCTGCAGTGCATCAGCTGGATCACCTTGGCACACAAAGGGTGAGGTTGTGAACATACCAGCCATTATCAACATCCCCTCCACTTACTCAATATATTCAGAAGAGATCCACTATACCAAACCTGTGTGTTACTCTGAACTCCTACTGTACCCACAAATGATGACCAGGGTTCCACGTATCCACCCAGGATAGACTTGGGGACATCCACTGTAAGCCACAGACATTCCACCACTCCAAAGAGGCATATCTACACAAAGTCTTCAGAGGACTTAGCAACAAGTGATTCCTCAATTGCATAAAATAGAGTGTGGAGATATAAAAAAAAAAAAAAGACAAACAAGGAAGGTTAAATGACTCATCAACAGGAACATAACAATACTTTAATACTCAACATGAGAAATTGGAGAGAAATAAAATACCTGAAGGGAATTCAGAAGTAGAGAAAAAAAAGAAAGGAAATTCTTAACATCACTAATCATCAGGGAATGATAAATAAAATCCAGACAATATCAGTTGACTCCAGTTAGGTTGCCTGTTATCAAAAAGACAGAGTAAGCCTTTGCAAGCAGTACATACGCAACCTAGGATGCTGGCATCCCATGGGAAATGAAAGGCAAGAAGAGAGAATGGAGAAAGGTCGTTTATTATGTCCTAAACTGTACTTGAACAGGAGTAGGAAGTTCTGGTATTTTATTGCACAGAAGAGTTAGCAGAGATAATGATACTGAACTATATCATTATTTAAAAAAAAACTGAAAGAAAATGTTTTGGTCAATGAAAGATGTAAATATTTGAAGAGATATATTTACCATAATCAGACATTATAAAATGTATACATGCCTGCCTCAGCCATCTGGGAAGTGAACCAGCACATAGATGATGTCTCTTTTTTTCTTTCTTTCTCTCTCTTTCTCTCTCTCCCTCTCCCTGTAACTCGGCCTTTCAAACAGACAAAATTATTCTTAAAAAGTTTTTTCCCTTTTCTAGTCATCATTAGAAAAATCCAAAAGTTTATATTTATTTGGAAGTTACTCTACAGTCCAACAAGCAGAGATAACAGAACATAAAGAAAGTAGAGAGATTCTGACACCTAGATAACACTGAGTAATTATGTGATTACGTTAAATCTCTTCATATGTATAGTAATATAGAACTATACATGCATTGCAAGACAAACAAAATATTCCAGCTGTCTCTCTTACAGTGAAATCACAACGTTGCTCTCAACTTACTCTCCAAACTTTACTCCCAACTACCTTCCTCCAAAATTAAATGAATGACGCTTGTATGTGTATACAGTTTTATTACTTAGAATTCTTTGAAAAGCAGAATTAAAAGTAATATCAATCTTGGGCCCAGTGCAGTAGCCTAGGGGCTAAAGTCCTTGCCTTGCACATGCCGGGATGCCATATGGGTGCCAGTTCTAATCCTGGCGGTCCTGCTTCCCATCTGCTTGTGGCCTGGGAAGGCAATTGAGCATGGTCCAAAGCCTTGGGACCCTGCGTCCATGTGGGAGACTTAGAAGAGGCTCCAGGCTCCTGGCTTCACATCAGCGCAGCTTGTAGCCACTTGGGGAGTGAATCAACGGAGGGAAGATCGTGTTAGTCTCTCCTTCTCTCTGTAATTCTGACTTTCCAGTAAAAATAAAATAAATCTTTAAAATAATAATTATCTGCCTCAATTCAGAAAAAAGGTCTTGTGCTCGCTTCAGCAGCACATATACTAAAATTGCAACAATATAGAGAAGGTTAGCATGTCCCCTCACAAGGATGACAATCAAGCTTGTGAAGCATTACATATTTTTTAAAAAACATCTTCACATCTATAAAATGAAATTAATGATTTCTAGAAGCAAAGAAGCTCAACATGATTATGATCTTTGAAGAATAAGGTGCTTTCTGTTGTCCTGTTTCGATCTCTGGCATAATGATAAAGATCAATCAAAAGGATAACAGCTAGATGGGTAATTTTGTTGTTCTATTTTTAATGAACTTGTCTCCATTAAAATTAGGAAAAGATAAATAATGAATCACCTCAAATTACAGAATTTCCATATTTCATAAAAAAACTGGTACTGTGTCTGCCAGTAATAGCCACATATAATATTTATGAAAGGCTGGTTTTCCGTAATGAGAAATTCAACAATTACCATGGTAATAACTAGGGAAACAAGACTGAAATACATGATAAAGAAAGCGAGTTTCAAGAGGAAATTATGTATGGAGCATTAGAGTTCTGGGTCCAAGAATGCTTCTGAGGGTCTGCGAGGAGAAGCACGCGTCCCTCCATTTCCAGAAAAGAAGGACATGAAATTGATTCATATGAAATCATTTTTATCTTTCGTTATAAATTTTGACATTTTTAAAAATAATTGCTCAGGTTCAAGCTTTACATTCTTCCCTGAACACTGCCTGTCACTTTATTCTTTTCTTTTACTTCACTTAAATTTTTTTCAGAATAATTCTCTCATTCATTAAATTTTCTAAGTTGCCTTTTCGTGGTTTTATTTCTACTTATCCTACTTATTTTGTACTAACTGAACATAGAAATACTTCACACGAACTATTTCTAATTCGATTAAGAAATCAGCTTCTTTTAAAAGTTCTAGAAGCAGTCAGAATTATACAAGGAGAGAAAGAAAGATCTTTCATCCATTGGTTCATTTCCCACATGGTCACAACATCCAGGGCTGGATCAGACGGAAGCAAAATCCAGCAGCTATTTCCAAGTCTCCCACACAGGTGGCAGGAGCATATCTGTTTTGTTTATTAATTAAAAAACAAATACTTGGGTCATCTGCTGCTGCTTTCCCCAGGCCGTTAGCAGGGAGCTGGATCAGAAATGGAGCAGTCGGGACTTGAACCAGCACTAACACTTGGGGTCCCGGTATTACAGATTGTTTTAATATCTGGGATGCTAGAGAGTAATGCTGCCATGTGCATGGAAGAGCGAACTGATTTCATTTCCTTTTGATATTTAATACAAGTTCTGTAATAGCTATATTAATTTATATTCCAAAAGCAGTGTACAAGGGTTCCTTTTACTTCACATCCTCATCAGCATCTGTTGTATTCTTTTTATGACAGCCACTCTAAATAATGTGAAGTAATGTCTTAGTTTTAACTTACATTTCCCTGATGAATAACGTGGCCAAACATTTTTTTTTAATCTATTGGTCAGCCATTTACTAGACCAAAGTTTTTTTATGCGAGTCTTAATATTTTATTTATTTCCTATCATGCCATCTGAAAATAGACAATTTTACTTCCTTCTTGAATTGACGTGTTTTTCCCCTTTTCTTACATATTTTGTCTAGTTACAATTTCCTACATTATATTAACAGTAAGTGGGGCCCAGCGCAATAGCGTACCAGGTTAAAGTCCTAGCCTTGGGTTGTGGGAGGAGTGGGGGAAATCCAAGCACCTATAAAACTGTATCACATAATACAATGTTATTAACAATAAAAACAAAAATAAATAAAAAAAATAAAAAAGAGAAATTGAATTTAAAAAAATAAATAAAATAAAGTCCTAGCCTTGCCCGCGCCAGGATCCCATATAATGGCCGGTTCTAATCTCAGCAGACTTGTTTCCCATCCAGCGCCCTGCTTGTGGCCTGGGAAAGCAGTCGAGGACGGCCCAAAGCCTTGGGAGCCTGCATCCGTGTGGGAGACCCGGAAGAGCTCCTGGCTCCTGGCTTTAGATCAGCGCAGCACCGGCCGTGGCGGTGACTTGGGGAGTGAACGATCAGAAGGAAGATCTTCCTCTCTCTCTCTTCTCCTCTCTATTTCTTCTCCTCTCTGTCTCTCCTCCTCTCTGTATACCCGCCTTTCCAATAAAAATAATAAATAAATCTTAAAAAATAAAAAGCAGTAAGTGGGGAGAGTGGGCATCTTTGTCCTGTTTCTGATCATAGAAGTTTTCAGCTTTTCACCATGGAGTATTTTAGCTGCAAGCTTATTATATAAGTTCTTTATTATACTGAGACACATTCCTTCTATTCCTAACTTTAGGAAAGTTTATACTCATAAAAAGTTGCTGAATTTTTGTTAACACACTTTCACACTTATTGAGATAATCATATGATCTCTACCTTTCATTCTGTTACTGATTTATACATATATATAACATAACATATAATGATATATAATATATATTACATATATATGCATACTAACGTATTATGTTGAAACATCCTTGAGTTCAATGAATAAACCCCACTTGACCATGATGTATGATTCTATTAATGTGCTGTTACATGCAGTTTTCTAGTATTTGTTAGGGAGTTTTACACAATTCTCATAGAAAAACTGATCTATCATTTTCTTTGTTTGCAATGTCCTTGTCTGGCTTTCGCATCATGTAATGGCAGTTTTGTAAATTTATAACTCAGGTTTAACAGTTCTTTTCAAAACTGCTACCTTCAATAAGCAACACAAACTAAACTATATTTTACTGCTTATATTTTTATATGCTTCTAGTTTGTATAAAAGATGATTAAATTTTTTCATAGGCTCTTTACATTTGTGCTAAGTCCCACATCTATTCCTATGTAAATTGGGGGGGGGGGGTTCTTACACATGTAATTTTTTTTCTTATTGATATTCTTAAGAAGTTAAACAGAGGTAAACAGTTTGAAATTTGAAATCAAGGCTGGTTTAGTATGAATATTAGCTATTCTATGCATTACTTCTGCATCTTTATTCAGGTTATTTCCTTAAATGTCATTTTCTTCTTCTGAAAATAAATATAATTACATTACCTGCCTTATAGGATTATAGGATTTTTTCCCTGTCAAACAAAGTGAAAAATATATTTAGCAAAATATATATCAAGCAAACACATGATAGCAATTATTATTATTGCTGTTATCAGCTCTTTGCACTAGTCAGTTTTTTACTACTATAGCTAAATATATGAGGTACTGACATATAAAAGGTTTTAAATTTAGCTTACAATTTTGAATTTTCAAGTTCAACACCAGAAAGTTCCATTTGTTTCCGTGAGGACAGTAGACACATTACTGAAGCACACATAAAGTTGAGACCACAGCAAAATAGGCAGCACAGCCAGTGGACTTTATCCACTCCCAAATCCCTTCCAAGGCCTTCTAGGGGAAATGCTTCGAATGCTATAACCCCTGAACAGCTTTTACCGTCTCCCACTAGTTCCACAACAGGGATCAAACCTTGAACACATGGATCTTTGAGAGACATTCAACATTCAACCACAGCACTATTATGGCAACTATGACTAGAAAACAAAAACAGAATGGAAACTTCAGTGAACAACTGGATTAGTAAAGATCATTGCAGACTCTTTATGTTCTCCTTACAAGAAGAATCTATGACTCCAATTTAGGCAGTCTCAGTGTTTTATTTTTCATCATTCCTCAGCAGTAGACACTCTGTAATTACACTGGTTATCACTTTTTCTGGGCTCAGATTTCAGCAAGGTTGCACATCTATGGTATTTATAAGTGGTAAATGTGTCTCTTTTAGTGCTTCAGTGAGAAAAAGTTTTGAAATACCTAACCTAAACCTTTCATATGGATACTTAAGAAGACACAAATGGGATTCTAAGAAGCCATTAGGAAAACATTGAAACTTTGATTTCTGAGGCAAATACCAAGTATTCTAATTTCCAATGAACAATATTCATGCAAATAAATGCAAACAAATACAGCTACTTTTCTATCTTATGCCTAAATGGTCCCAGGCAAAAATTATTTGCATGGAAGCTGTAGGAAACTATAATATATAATCCCATATACATAAAAAAACATGCTTTGAACAATGACTGCTGTCGTAATTACGCAATTAAGAATAATACTGTGTGAAAATAATTACACTCTAGCTCCTAGTAGTGATTTAAATTTAACTGATGTTGGCAAAGATTAGACTTTTCCTATTAAAGTTGACAACATCAAATATACAATCATATATAGAGAAAATGGAGACTTTGTCTTGTCTTGGTCATGACTGCATCTCTAATGTCAAACACAATATTGAAAACCTAACAGTTTTGGACAAACATTTAAGGAATAAATGTGTACAGCTTGAAGATTTCTGATATTTTCAATGATGTTCTTTAAGTACTGAAGCACTCACATATTTCCTGGAAAGACAGCTGACATCCACATGGGAAATCAGAATGGAATTCACGGTTCCTGATTTGGCCTGGCCTACAATCTGGATGTTAGTGGTCATTTGGGGAATGAACCAGTGAATGGAATATAACTTTCTCTCTCTATTTCTCTCTCTTTTACTCTCACCCTCCCTTCCTCATTTCCTGTCTTTCCTTCTCTTTTGCTTGTACTGTCTTTCAAATGCATGGGTTTAAAAAAAAATTTTTTTTTAAACAGGAGCTGCAATTGTGCCATAGCAGGTATAATTGTGACATCGACATTAATATCTGCCTACGATATCAACACTGCTCCAATTCCAATCCAGCTCCTTGCTAATGGCCTGGGAAAAGCATCAGAAGATAACCCAAGTGTTTGGAGCCCTTCCAGCCACACAGGAGAACTACATAAAACTCTACACCTTGCTCCTGTTTTTAGCCCAGCCCAGCCTCAGCCATTTTAGACATCTGGGTAAACCAGCATAGAGAAGACCTCTGTGTGTGTGTGTGTGTGTGTGTGTGTGTGCGCGCGCGCGCCTGACTTTCAATAAATCATTTATTTTAAAGTGTTAAATATGTCTTCCTTAGTAATAACCTCTGAGTTCATCTACTGAAGACATACATGCTTAGACATAAAGACAGCCAAGAAAGGAAATGACTCCATTCTTCCTATTCTCTTTTT